GGAAATTCATCAATATATCCCTAGCCTTTAAATAACTCCCGGCATAGTTTACTGTTGTGTCTAGCTTTCCTACTTGTCTTTAGTGGGAGAAATAATTTAAATATCTTGGTCTGCCATCACCGAATGTCCCTTCCTTGTTTCTTCCCCTTTCCTCATTTTTACAGTGCATCTACAAGTCTTCTCTGTTTCTTCGTTAGCATACTTCCTGAACTTCATCATTTCACCCAATCTCCTTCAAAGAGGATAAAATTACAAATTTAAAAGCATGGACTTTTTTGGTTTAGTTGGTTGGTTCCCAGTCCTGGAGCTTGACTCAGTGCCTGGGCACTGTCCCTGAGCTTCTTTTGATCGTTTTGTTGGTTGGTTTAAAAACTATTGACATATATTGCTGCTATGGTTTTGTTTCAGTCATTCTTCTTCCTATTGATCATACTTTCTTTTTTTCCTTTATCCTTTTTTACTACTGAAATGAATTCAATTTTTTATTCTCTTTTGTAAGTCCAACACATTATTTTATCCTTTTACTATATAGTACAACTTAAAACATTCATCCTATACTTATTTTTTCCTATCAAGTTTTATAGTGATCAATATCTAATCTTCTCTCCATTACAAAGGAACACATCCTTGCCATTTCCTGTGGTCTTGAACTCCCACACCCACACCCATCCCACAATGCTATCATTCACACCAGTATCTCTCAAATGTGCTGCCAGATCTAGCGCTAGTCCACAAACTTCTTGAAATCAATTTGTGACTTAAATAAAGGATCTCTGAGCCAGAGTGTAACCAACTGTATCAGTAACACAGGTGTGGACATTCCAGCCCTTGATAAGAAGTTAAGCTCCAAGGAGCTTTCCTGTTGAATGCAGTTTAAGTGCTTATTCCCTATGCCTATTTTACTTTGTACCTTTTCTACTGTGATAAATTGCAGCCATATACAGAACCATATGAAGAAGCTAGTAAACCATACTAATGTATCAATGAATTTAGGAGCCAGACTTGTACATACCTGATACTACCCATGAATTTGATAAATGAAATATATATGCCATATCTTCCTGTAGAATATTGCCTGACTTTCTCAGAGAATCAGAGTATATAATTTTCATCCAATAAGAAAATAAGATGCAAATGAAAGGTATACCACAAAATATTGTCCACCAAAACAACCTTGGCTAATAAGTAATAAAAATTTAAATGATTATGGTTAGTCAGAGCAACATAATCCATCTTTTAATTAAAAAAATAAAAAACAAAAATAAGTCAGCTGCTAATTGCTCACATCTATACTCTTAGATATCTACTCAGGAGACTGAGATATAAAGACTGAGGTTCAAAGCCAGTCCAGGCAGGAAAGTATGTAAAATTCTTATCTCCAATGAACCACTCAGAAAAAGGTAGAAGTGGCATTGTGGCTCAAGTGGTAGAGTGCTAGCCTTGAGCAAAAGTAGTCCAGGGACCCTGAGTTCAAGCCCTAGGACCAGCAAAAAAATTAAATTAAAAATTAAATTTTTTAAAGTTAAAAGCTTATTTTCAGTGGGCTGGGAAGGTGGCTCAGTGGTAGAGCACTTGCCTTGCATGCTCGAGGCCCTGGGTTCGATTCCTCAGCACCACATAAGCAAAAAGAAAAAAAAAAGCCGGAAGTGTCACTGTGGCTCAAGTGGTAGAGCGCTAGCCTTGAGCTGAAGAGCTGAGGGACAGCGCTCAGGCCCAGAGTTCAGGCCCCACGACCGGACCCAAAAAAAAAAAAAAAAAAAGCTTATTTTCAATATGAAAGCTCAAACTGAATTTTACAAAATTATGAAAAATATTTTAATAGCAATAAGTATGACAGTCAGATGTCAATGAGAAAGCTAAAGATTACCTAAAGCAACTGGTTTTCTCGCTCTACTGATAAAAACAACCTTGAGGGAAGTGAACCTTTATTCTTCTTCCTGAACCAGAATCATTCTAAGAACTCACCTCCTACACATGTATCTGATATTTAATCTCCAGATCTCTGTAGAGAAATCTGTCTGTACAGCATACACAACCTTAAAGCAAAGCTTATAAGGCTTTTTCTGAAGGAAAAATTAGAGATCTTTTCTAAAGGTACATTAATGAGATACTAATGAAACGCAATGACCTGATGAACTTCCAAAAATGATCACTAGAGATATGTCTCTGCTGATTTTTGAATAACGGTAAAACAGTAAATCTGAAGCATAATAATATATACATTAATAAATAAGATGAAAAAGTCATGTATCATATTGCATATGTGTGCCACAAATTTGTGTTTGTGTGAATGATATATAAAATTTTAATGAAATATTATGCAGAAAATTTCGGAAAAGTGTAATTAAGCTAAGTCCTCCAAATTCTAGTTTTCCTCTCCTCTCACTATTAATTCTGACTACTATGTATGTTTAATCTTTGACCTGCCTGCACTGAAAATTCAGGAAGAGTTCAATTGTGTATTTCTGAGGAAATAATAGCATATACTGATGCTAAACTAGGTTACTGAAACTTTATGTGCCTAGTTTATACAGATGTCTCTTACAGATGGAATAACATAGGAAAGAAAGATTAATAGTCAAGTAGCTTTTCCTAGTCATATTTATTTCCAGTGGATTATGTGCTTGACTTCCCAACCTTTGCATGACAAGACAATTTAGGTGGTAAAGACTGCCCTGCCAAGGGGGGGGGGGAGCCTCATTGAGATACAGTTATATATGTATGGAAATATCACAATTGTCCAGAAACCTCTTCTTGTACTATTAATATATGTTAATAGGAATAAATTTTAAAAGATTGTCCTATCAAATGATTTCAAAATGATTTATCCTGTCAAATGAAATCTAAAATGATTTAGGGCTGTCTCATAAAAGATTACAAAATGAATAGCCTGATGCCCATAATGGCTTCAAAAACCCCTTTAAGAATTGCCAAAAGCCGTTTGTTTTCCAGTTTGTTTCCAAACCTGCAACTCCCATGTTTGGAAATAAAATGATGTATATGAAAGCATTCTCTAAAGATATAAGATACACAGTAACATTTTTGCTTGGGTTTTCAAGATGTATTCAATATTGTGTCTTGTTATGGGGCCACAAAACTCAAAGCCTAATGGAAAGTCCAGTCAAGAACCAGCCAGCTAGTAGTACATTGTGCTGCTGGATTGTCTGCAAAAGTCACTGGCTTTGCTAATAATTGATTAGTGTTTATGCCCTGCTTAGTTACTGACAATCTGGAAAACATGAGTTACAGTGTTAACTCTGATGTTATTTTACACAATGTTTGGATTTTTCACAAGCCTATCTTTAAGTTATTTCATCAAAGGAGATCTGTCATTCTACAACTGATCAGTTTGAACCGATTTGAGAATAAATATTTGAAATGGGTACAACTTCCATGAAACAATTCTGTAATATCTGTGCCAAATTATTTGGTTGCTTTTATTTAGTTGCTTTTAATCTCAAAAGTTTAATGACACTTCCTGTAGTTATTATATCCCAGATCCAAAAGAGACTCCAAGACACCCAGTTAAAGGAGCTAGGAACTTTATTACCACTGCACAGGGGCCACTTCCTACCACTGGGAAAGTAGGAGACTGGTCTTGAACTCGGAGCAGGATGGGTTTTTACAGGGGTAGGTTACTAGAGTTACACAGACAAGCCATGCAAAACAGGTTTGGCACGTTTTCATTGGTTACAGTTTTATGACCTTTACATTTGTTTGTTCTTTATGGTAAATATCATATGTAATAATTTGCAATAGGCAGCCCATAGTGAGACCACTCAGTGGTGGTCTTCCATTGGTGGGCTTAAGGCCCTGTTACTGAGGCAAACAAGCAAGGTTACAGAAGCAAAACATAGCAAAAACATAGCCTTGAGTCACAGGAGCATAGACAAAACATAATCTTGCCTTGGTCAGCATGACCAATACTATCAATGCTATTGACACTATTACAGAAAATATTTTTTATTATGAGCTCCCGACTAATACAGCAACTCAGTGCAGCTGGTGATGACCCTCAAGGGTGTCAGTAGCCTTCTGCAAAGCTGTCAGCTTGGTAAACTTGAATGGGGGAGAGATGTTCTGTTGCTTTTTAGCAAGACTGTAGAAGGGACAAAGGTTACTGGTAGTCAGCCTTTGACTGGGTTTTTCTTTACCAAGACGTTTTGCCCTTTATCAATAATTTTGTTCTGTTTTCTGATTTCACATTTTTGTTCTCATGGATATCCTCCCCTCTCCCACCCCAAGGGTAAGGGGGTTCATGGGAGAGAGTCCCACAGCAGGGGGGACTGAGGCCAGACAATAGGAGGAACTTGCTGCCAGTGAATGGCAACTCAGATATTACAGTTACAGATGGCTGAACAGATCCCCCCCTCCGAAACACACACACACACACACACACACACACACACAAATACACCCAAGGTGCTTTTCCAACCACATTTCTCACCAGCTCTTCCTTTTTTTTACCCCCACAAATGCTTTTCTTAGTGAGGCAAATTTACCACATCAGGCAACCAGACACTGTGAAATTAAAACATTTTACATCCTGAGCTTCACACCACCTTCCACAGTCACGTAGCTCTTTCACCCCTGGCGGGGAAAATCAACAGTAAAGTACAGGTCCAAAGGGCTGAATCAACAGTAAAGTACAGGTCCAAAGGGCTGTGGTGAAGGCCAAAATGTTAAAAGAAGCTACTGGGCTTATCCCTGCTGGTTCCAGAAGGGGAAGGGGTGGAGGGAGCACACACACACACACACACACAGACTACCACACACTCATAGAGACTACAATTCTCACACACACACACACACACACACACACACACACACACAGACTACAACACACACATAGAGACTACAATTCCCAGCAGGCACGGCGGCTGCGGAGTTCGGGGGGGGGGGGCGAGGAGGAGAGACACACTCAGAGACTACAATTCCCAGCAGGCACGGCGGCCCCGGAGTTCACGCACGCGCAATTCCCAACCTAGGGCGGCATGATTTCTAGGAGACACGATGGCGGCTCTTGGTCTGCGGCGCGGAATGCAAAAGCTCTTAGATGTGTCACCGACTGTGGCACGTCTGAGCCTACGGTGCAGCACGGGCCCGACCTTGGCCGAGGTGCTCCAGATGCCGAAGAAGCAAATGACGAAACTACTGTACCCGCTGCAGGAGCTCGAGCAGCGCCTGGTTCCGGACTCGAGGCTCGACCTCCACCTCAAGCTCTTCGACCCCAGCCCGGAGGACATGGAAAGCGCCGAGGGCGTCTTCGCCGCCACCGCCCGGAACCGCATCGAGTACCTCAGCTCCGCGGTCCGTCTCGACCACGCCCCGACCCTCGCCCGGCCGGAGGTGAGGGCTGCTGGGCTCTGGGTTCCCGGCCTGCCAGCAGGGAGGCGGGAAAGTTTGCAGAGGGGTGGGGGTCGAGGTGGGGGTCTGCACTTCCTGTCAGCCTGGGAAAGGTGGGCGAGGGAGGGCTGTCACTCTGGGAAAGGGGGAGGAGCTGTCATTGGTCACTCTGGGAAAGGGGGAGGAGCTGTCATTGGTCACTGGGAAAGGTGGGGGAGCTGTCATTGGTCACCCTGGGAAAGGGGAACTGTCATTGGTCACTCTGGGAAAGGGGGAGGAGCTGTCATTGGTCACTCTGGGAAAGGGGAGCTGTCACTTCTGTTCATCCTGGGAAAGGTGGGGGCGGGGTGCTGTCCCTTCTTGTCACTCTGGGAAAGGTGGGAAGGTGCTGTCACTGTCACCCTTTTCCAAGTTTGTGTGGACGTACATATTGTGTATATATATGTATATATAACATGTATGAAATATTAACTATTCCGTATAAACAAACTACTATAGTTTACATTATTATGATGATGAATATGGAAGAATACAATGCCCTTTTTCTTTTTCCTATTTAGTTGAAATAGGGAGAAAATGCTGAAGAATCGGGAATATTTTATAAAGGAGATGATCCTTACCAACGTGTAATTTTCGTTCAATCTAACTTTCTTATGAAGTGCAGAAATAAAAATTAACTATGGGGGCAATAATCTGGAAAACTTTTACAACTACTTTTACAAGTGAAATCCCATGAGTGTGCACCTTTTTTATGCTCTACAACTCCATAATACAATTAAGTCTGTTGAAAGATGGCTCAGCTCTCTCTCTATCTGTGTTCTTCAACTGGACCATTTCCCCACATTTTTTTCTTACAAGTTATATTCAACTTCTATAATTAATGGACTCTTTGTATACTATAAAGCATGTTCTAAACTTCCGTTTTCTGGCCAGAGCGTTTGAAATGTATGTAGTTCTCTTTGAAGGACTGACCTGAGTTTCACAGAATCACTGGTCCTACACACCCTCAGAATGCTCCCCAATTGTATTGATAACCAAAAAATGCTCGTACAGTTCTATAATGGCCCCAGAGGGGTGCATTTAACCTCATTTTCAACTGGTTGGAGTTGTCTCTATAGAAAGTAGAGCCACGTGTAAGAATGGGATTATCCAGTGTTTTGCTTTTGATACTACAGAGAAAAGCATGACTAAAACAGGAGAGATCAAGGGAAAAAATAAACAAGAAAATCTTAAATTGCAACAATGTAACACTGTACTATAAAGTTCTTGGGGAAAATGTCGATTTTTCTCAAGTTGTACTTTTCAGCTGTTTTTTTTTTTAAAATATGCTATTATCTACTTCAGAAAGTTTTGTAATGTGTAATGCTTTATAGAGCTTGCATATATTCTTGAGTGGCATTGTTTAATGAAAGGCACAGTGTTCTAGATATATGTTCTGAGTTCAAATCCCAATTCCTTCTCATCTCATAGAGGTTTTGTGAAAGAAAATAAATAGTAGTAAGTGCTTAGGCAGTACTTGGCACTTTAAGATCACTAAATAAATATTAGCTGTTAATTAGAATTTGATTTTTGACTAGCATAAGCCATCTTTACATGGCTTCGCAAGACTGACTAGTAGACAGTTTTGTGGAAATAACAGCATTCAGTGTGTAAACATAAACTAATCCTCTGTTCTCTTTTTTTTTCTTGTGTAAGGTGTGTTTTATAGGCAGAAGCAATGTTGGAAAATCCTCCCTAATTAAGGCTTTATTTTCACTGGCCCCTGATGTTGAAGTCAGAGTCTCAAAAAAACCAGTAGGTAAAAATGTTTAAATATGTCTGGGCTGTCTCTTAAATTGACTAAGACAAATAATAAATATCAGAAAGTACAAGAAAGTTCCTAAAGATTTCTTTCAAAGAAGTAATAAAGGATTAAATAATAATAAGTAATAAAGATATTTCACTATTGCCTGTGCATTTCTCTGAAAAAAGTATAGCTTGATGTATTTTAATAGTCTTGCCAGTGAGGAATGCTTTTTTTCCATGCAGTTGGCAGTAAAGTGATTTATTGTTTGATATTTCCTTCTATAAGAGAGATCAAGTTTACATTGATTTTTAGAGTGAACAGCTTTAAATTTCACTTTTTCCTTTTATACCTTTCCAGTGCACAAGCTTTCCCTCTATACTCTCCCCTATATACAACACAAAACTCTCCCTCCCTCCCCCTTTACTTTCCCTCTATACTCTCCCCTATATAATACAACACAAAACTCTCCCTCTCTCCCCCCCTTACATATACTATCAGACATATTATTTTACTAAGGACCAAGTAATGTGCTTACATTTCCACTTATTCTGCCTTAGTAGCCTTCTGTCATTTTCCAGTTCATTCTACTTGCCTCTCAATGATGCTGACTCTACCAGTATCTAAGATAACCTTTCTTCAGAACTCACCTCCACTTTCCCTTCTATGTATGGCAAACCTTTCCACTAGCTATAATGCTCACTGCCTCTCGTGTTGGAGTTCTCCACTTCTTGTTTGTTGTTTGCGCTCTATTGCTTATATAGTAGACATTTTTTACTTCCTTAGCCCTTCCATCTTCACTGCTTCTCTGTTTCACCAAATAAACCAGCTAAACTATCACTTCTAGGTAGACTGAATCCCCTTCCTGTCCCATGGATACAAAAGCAGGAATAAACTACATTTTATCAACTTTCCATCAGTTTTAGTTGCACAGATAGTCTAGAATTACACTGTTGCAACTACTTTAAAAAAATCTTTAATGGGAGTAGAGCACTGAAAACCACATAATAAAACATGCAAAATGTCTTGATTTTAAGGAAGTAATAGTCTAGGTATGCAAAACTGTGAGGCCTTAGGTGTAGGTGTTAGGAAAACCAGTATGCCTGACATGCCTGACAGGCAATACATTAGTCATCAGAGAATACCTACTAATATTACAGTGTAGAGCAGGGTGACTTTTTCATGAAGAGTGAAACAGGTAAAACACCAGAATACTTTTCCTACTTACTTCTAATATGAACTCTAAAGTTCTTAGGTAATACAGATTCTGTTTGATGATAAATGAATTGGAAAGAATTAGTATGATCTAAGATTCTCTCTAGGCACTTCCCCTTTTATCTGTTTTTCTGTCATCAGAATAATTAGGATAATGTACTTAGGCTTTAACAAGTATTTTGTTAATTGAGTAGAAAACATTTCAAGTGATGAAACATTCAGGGCTAATTTTAAGTCAGCTTTTATTTTTCATTTACTTTATCAGGGGCACACAAAGAAAATGAATTTTTTCAAAGTTGGAAAATACTTTACTTTGGTGGACATGCCAGGTTATGGCTATAGAGCACCTGAAGACTTTGTTGACATGGTAGAAACCTATCTAAAAGAACGAAGGAAGTAAGGAAAACTTTTCTTACAATAGTTACGTATTTTATCCCTTAGCACATTTTCATCAAGAGCATTCTCTACATGAAGAACACTTCAGTTTTACCAGGTCTATTTAATTTTCATAGTATTCTACAATATGTAGGACTAAGGTATTTACTGCTTGTTTGGTTTCTGCTTGTAGGTTAATATCAAATGTTTTTCTAAATTAAAGCTGTAAAAAGTATTCAGTAGAGTGAGTTCATTATTATTATTATTATTTTTTGTCCGTTATGGGGCTTGAACTCTGGGCCTGGGCACTGTCCCTCAGCTCTCCAGCTCAAGGCGAGTGCTCTACCACTTGAGCCACAGCGCCACTTCCAGTTTTCTGATAATTTATTGGAGATAAGAGTTTCACAGCTTTTCCTGCCTGGGCTGGCTTTGAACTACAATCCTCAGATCTCAGCTCCCTGAGTAGCTAGGATTAAAGGTGTGAACCACCGGCACCTGGCTCATTAATTTTTTTTTAAAACGAACTGTTAGCTGGCAGATTTTGAAATAAAAATTACTGGTTAATGTGATATTTATCAGATTTAAATAAACCAGTAAATTCTGTTCACATTTAAAATTCCACAGCCATCACATCCTCTGAAAATGTTATCTTTTTTTCCTCCATATGTAGTTAATAGTTCTGTGCTTAATTATACAACATAGAAAAATGTTAAACTTTTAAAGTATCAAATAGTGTTTATGGCTGAGGAAGTAGCTCATGGTAGAAGCTCTGCCTTCAGTCCTCAGTACTATAAAAAAAAAAAAAAACATTATTAGCATTTTAAGTATTTTGCTTTTATTTTTTTGCCAGTCCTGGAGCTTGAACTCAGCTTCTTATGCTCAAGGCTAGCACTCTACCACTTGAGCCACAGAGCCACTTCTGGCTTTTTCTTTGTATATAGTACTGAGGAATTGAACCCAGGGCTTCCTGCATGCACTCTACTACTAAGCCACATTCCCAGCCCATATTGGATTTTTTTTTTTGTATTTTGCTTTTATAAAAAACAAAAATGAAATATGTAAGAAAATGCAGTACTTTTTTCTGTTAGCCTTAAACTGATATTTCAAAAATTAGATGCTTCTATAATTAACTTAGAGAAAGTTGGATTTGTATATCTTTTCCCACTAGAGCTTAAGGTCTTAGAAAAAGGAGTCACTCATCTTTGCACCATACTTCAGGCAACTTATGTTCAATACGTTTACTGAAATAAATATTTAGGAAATGTACTGATAATAAACTACATTGATGCCTATTGGACTATAGGATGAACCTTCTGGTGAACTGAGAATTATTCAAAGAAAAAGAAAAATGTCTTGGGTAGATAGAAGACATATGAATGAGTATATCTTATTTGCCACTTATCTTTCCTGCATTCTTACAGCTTGAAAAGAACATTTTTACTAGTGGATAGTGTTGTCGGAATCACAAAAACAGATCATATTGCCATAGAAATGTGTGAGGAATTTGCATTACCTTATGTGGTAAGTGTTCCTTCTGACTCATGGTTACAGTTACAGATATCAGTTCTATGTGTGTGTGTGTGTGTGTGTGTGTGTGTGTGTGTGTGTGTGTGTGTGTGTGTGTGTGTGTGTGTGTGTGTGTGTGTGTGTGTGTGTGTGAGAGAGAGAGAGAGAAAGAGAGAGAGAGAGAATGTGTGTGCCACCCACTTGATAATGAATGAGGTGTTGCTTCCTCAAAAGGAAAACGAAAGTGCTTTTAAGCTTGTGACACACTTTTTCTTCTCTCAGCTTTAAGATTTTTTTTGTTTGGGTTTGGTTTCTTTGTTGGTGTGGGGCTTGAACTCTGGGCCTAGGCACTGTCCCTCAGCTCTCCAACTCAAGGCGAGAGCTCTACCACTTGAGCCACAGAGCCACTTCCGGTTTTCTAGTGGTTAATTGGAGATAAGAGTCTCACGGACTTTTTCTGCCCAGGCTGGCTTTGAACTGCGATCCTCATATCTCAGCCTCCTAAGTAGCCAAGATTATAGGCATGAGCCACTGGCACCCAGCTAAATATTTAAATTATGGTCAAAGTTTCCAAAGCTTTCAGTATTTAGTATTCCTAAGTGCTTTTTTCCATTTTTTTAAATGGAAACAAACATTTTTACAAAACATGTTAATAGCTTGACATGGCAGCTTGGCAGATGGCACTTATCAAAATGTAAATAAACTGCAGCTGGAATATTAACCCAATTTGGAAGTTAAAACTGATTCAAGAACATAGCAGGCTCTAGCACATACAAATAAGACTTTTCTATTCCTAACAAAAGTGTACAGAATTCTTCTGGAAATACTTTGCTAGAGGTTTTCCTGTCAGTTGACCTAGAATAAAATACAAATTAGTAGGTTTGTCCACACTAATTTTGCTTAGTAATAAATTCTAGATAAAATAGCATCCTTAAAGTTGCGTCCTACAGAGAATAGATGACCTCAGTGACTTTAATTTAGTTTCCATAGACTCAGAACATCACTAAATTATAACAATGGGGATTAACATAAGCCAAACCATGTTACTAGCCAGCCACTTTTAGTATGAGTTACAAATTTTGGGAGGGTTGCAAAAGGCCTGTGAAACATTAGGAATAACAATTGCAAGAAATTAAGGGACTGGTAATAAATGCCTAAATACTATCAAACTGGTGTTGTTAAGTAATAGTATTCATGATTTCCTATCATAGGTACCAGTTCATAAAATCAAACTTTCTCAGTTTTAAATGAAGGGAAAAACTAAAAGTATTTTGTTTTTGGAAAGGAATTGAGGTATCATAAATAATCAGTACACACTAGGTTCAATCTCGAGTTCTTCAAATTAAAAAAGGGGAAAAAAACCTTAAAAAAAAAACCATCAAACATTTGTTTAAATTTGGGACTAAAGGTGTAGCTTAATTGTAGAGTACATGCCTAGCATATCTGAGACTCCAACCTGAGTTCCAATTTCTACACCACAAATATATGTGTGTGTGTCTCTGTGTGTGTGCATACATGTAAATTTACAAGCACTCCCAGTTGAGGTAATTCATAGGTTAATATTTTTCAGCTTGTTATTCCTGCTGTTAGCTTTTTGTTGTTGTTCAAGCACCAGGACTGGCAAAAAAAATAAGTTACATTTAGCCAGGCAGCAGTGGCTCACACCTGTAATCCTAGCTACTCAGGAGGCTGAGATCTGAGGATCGTGGGTTCAAAGCCAGCCTGGGCAGGAAAGTCCGTAAGACCCTTGTCTCCAATAAACCACCAGAAAGCTGGAACTGGTGCTGTGGCTTAAGTGGCAAAGCGGTAGCCTTGAGCTGAAGAGCTCAGGGAAAGCACCTAGGATCAGAGTTCAAGCCCCATGAAGCCAAAAAAAAAGTCTTTATGCATTACACACATTAGCTCACTCTTCAAGCAGATTCTTCATGGTTTTGTTTTTGTAATTTTCGTAATTTTGTAATTTATTTTATAATTGCTAACGGTTAAAATTTTTGTTTTCTTATAGATGGTATTAACAAAAATTGACAAATCTTCCAAGGGACATCTTTTAAAACAAGTACTTGAGATCCAGAAATTTGTTAATACACAAACACAAGGATGTTTTCCTCAATTGTTTCCTGTAAGGTAAGAATTGTAATTTTTTATTTTTTTCTGCCAGTCTTGGGACTTGAACTCAGGGCCTGGGCACTGTCCCTGGCTGCTTTTGCTCAAGGCTAGCACTCTACCACTTGAGCCACAGCGCCACTTCTGGCCTTTTCTGTTTATTTGGTACTGAGGAATGGAACCCAGGGCTTCATGCATGCTAGGCAAACATTGTACCACTAAGCCACATTCCCAGCCATTGTACATATCTTCATGTACTGGAAACCTTTAATATTAAATCAGTGTTTAAGTTGAGACGTCACTTAGCTATGATTTGCTGGTAGAACCCATTGGCACTTCTATTCTTCTTCCTCCATCTTCTCATTTCTTTCTAGATCTTATACCCTGTAAGCTTCTGCTTTCTAGTTTAACCCTAGACCACCACAGAAATTGTTTCTTTTTTGCTGGTCCTAGGGCTATAACTGTACACCTGGGTGCTATCCTTAAGCTTCTTTTGCTCAAAGCTAGTGCTCTACCACTTGAGCCACAGCTCTACTTCTGGCTTTTTCTGTGACTAATTGGAGATAAGAGGGTTGGGAATGTTTTAGTGGTATCCTAAATATGGTGACTCATAACTAACTACATCTTTTTGAACTCAAGTCTAACGTTTTTTTCAACTCTTGAAATTCTCTGCCTTCACATTCAATTCTCATCTACTTGGAATTTTATTACTTAGATACTACAGAAGCAATTATGCCATGTCTATTCATATATTCTGTACTATTTATTAAACAGACTGATCTAACATTAATATTTAGGGGCCTTTTACTACATATACATAGTTCAAAAAGATATTGTTAGTTATGAGTCATCATATTTAGGAGACCACAAGAAATTGGGAGAAAGTAGGACAGATTAAAAGTTCTACCTAACATGGAATCAGCATTTGTAAATAACTAGAAGTTAGACGAATTGAAATGTTACCTGACATTAGAAAATTATTTTTGCTTTCTCTTTTCAGTGTTGTGACTTATTCCGGAATCCATCTGTTGAAATGCTTTATAGCAAATATAACAAAAAAATAACAACTAGTTTAGATAAAGTTTCAAAATTCCTTGTCTCAACTGGAGCTAAACACCGAGAATAATTTCAATATTGTTTTAAATGTTGTATACTTGTAACTAGAGAAGAATTACTTCAGCTTTAAAACCTGTTATCTTCCCAAAAGAATGAATTTGTGCCCATGGAAAAAAGTTTATAGATATATGCTGTTCATTAGGACAGATACCAGCTGCTTTTTTTACTTTAATGAATAAGAACTTATAGAGATCTGTGATATGGAATCTGTAACTACTATGTAGAGAAGGGTTGGTCATGTTAAGTTTTTAACATTTCCAAGAAAATGTCATCATGTATATGCTATTTTGTTAAGTCTAAAATGGACTAAGACATTGATGTTAAAGGGTAAAAGCTCAGATATAAGCCTATAATCTTTTCTTGAGTCCTTATTTATTTGAATATTAAAAATTTATTCTTGATAAAATTTGTCAGACCATATTCCAAAGACCAGCCATTTCAGGCTGGAGTCATGAACCTTCAGGTGAACACAAGACTGAGAATGAGAAACACAGAAACCAAGTTCTAGTTTTAGTGTCAGTTATCAATTGGTCATTGCACAATGCATTTATTTCTCTTAAACTCTTCTAACTGTAACCACACCAACTTATTAAGATTAAAATGGCATAAAGTAAGATGTTATCTCAGGACAGCTGCACATTTGCAAGCCCAAACTAACAATAAAGCAAAATTCAAAGATGTTTACCACAGAAAACATCCTGCCACGGAGGAAGTAGCATTTTTTAAACTCACAATTCAGAATGCAGAAGCAGAAGACTGGACCTTAAATCTCCTAACTCCCAGGGACTTTTGCTTTCTTACTTTGTCCTCCACACCAGAAGTCAGGATGGAAAGTCTTCAAAGATCATCTGAAGGAGTGGGTGACTGAATTGACAACTCAGGAAACAAAGCAGTCCCTCTATATGACAAAGCTATACATACTAGTTGTCTCCTACTGGTTCACCTTCAGTTCCCAGTATAAATGCATTGAACATAAAGCTACTTAGAAGCTGGTGGCTGTTTGTAGACTTGTCACAAATAAAATTGTCAATGGAAAGTTGTATTTATAAAGAAAAAAATGTTTATTTGAGCTTGTAGTCCCTAGGCATTGCATGGCAAGAAACAGAATGCTACTATGTTATCACTGACCATGATTTAAGGCACAAAAATACCTACTGCCACTTGAAAACCATAGGGCAAGTGACTAGAGATTGAGGGCTCTGCATTACAACAGGCTTCAGAAAGCAGGGCACACCTATAATCCCAGAATTTGGGAGGCTGAGGCAAGACACTTCCGTTCAAGGCCAGATCGGTTAGAAAGTGAAAAATGTCTTTAAAAACAAGGTGTCAGGGGACAAGCTAACAAAGGGAAACCAGCATTTATATATTAATTCTGGATTTTAGTCTACCCGCATCAAAATCACCTGGATTCCTTGTTAAATATGCATGAAAACTTCTGGCCCCATTCCCTGATCCATGGTTATCGACCTTTGCAAAAGGCTAGGAATCTGCCAACTCACTAAGAGACTCAAAGTCTCCTATGAGAAAATGCAGAACACAGAAGAACAAAGCAGGATAACAAGTGGGGGAAAAATACAGAGAAAATCACAGAGTAGCCTTTGAAAAAGACACTGCATATACCAGAGTACCTTTTCTTTTACAATGTCTATTACGTAACAATATACAACTTAAGGCTATCATAGAAGCTTATGATCTTAATTCCAGTGGTTTGAAGATTTGAAAGGTACCTCTCACATTATTATTTAGAAATACATTAAGATCCTGTCACGGGGGCTGGGAAGATGGCTTAGTGGTAGAGCGCTTGCCTTGCATGCCTGAGGCCCTGGGTTCGATTCCTCAGCACCACATAAGCAAAAAAGAAAAAAGCCAGAAGTGGCGGTGTGGCTCAAGTGGTAGAGTGCTAGCCTTGAGCTGAAGAGCTGAGGGACAGTGCCCAGGCCCAGAGTTCAGGCCCCATGACCGGACCCAAAAAAAAAAAAAAAAAGATCCTGTCACGACAATTGTACAAGCATCAACCTTTAGCACCGAATTTAAATATATGATTATTAGTCTTCTATCCCTGGGTACATTTTGTCATCTGTTATTATTTCAATTTTGTTGCCTATTTAAGTTATCCTGTTGTATTTCACATTATCATAAAATAAAAAAAACTCTTTTGGAAAACCCTAAAAACATCTTTATATACCATATGAAGTAAGTAAGGTAAAGAAATGAAGAGAAATAATGGTTGTGATCTGATTCCTTTTGGTGGTCCATTCCAACACATAAAGACAGCAGAAGTGACATTGGCAGACCAATCTACAGTGGAGCAAAGAAGACCAAAATGATAGTTTAGGGTGCTTCCTTGCCACTCCACCTTGCTCCCTTAAAACATGGAGGATTTTGCAAGTCTTATTCTCTAGGAAATCAAAAACAATTCAAGTTTTCAAGGACCTATCAGCCTCAATCAAGAAATTCATGTTTCTCACAGGTAAGGCTTTGATGGACTTTTCATCAAGTTTAACACCTGGCACTCACAGTTTATTAAGTGGCACAAAGCTACTGCAAATGTTTATTGAGCTGACGTGCCCTCCTATTTGATGCGCACAGACCTCAGTAGTTCCTATTAAAACAGCAGAACACTGAATGAACCTGCCCACTAATTCTTAATGTTCTATATGAACATTTAAACTCCCATTAAAGCAAAAATGTCATCAATGTCATCTGTTTCTTTAACAGTTCCTGACATACTGTGTTGGCTTATTTGAGTGTTTGTCCATGAATCAGTTTTGTTTTTGTTGTTTCCCATGAGATTTCTATGAACTTGTTTCTCCTTAGTCTGCATGATGGGATCTGGAAATCTGCTACTCAAGAGCTGCTTACTGCTGGAACAGAGATCAGTTCTCTGAACTGCAAGGTGTGAGCATCTCCACTTAGCATTGCTGTCCTTAGCAGTCTGTGGAGTCCCTTGAGAAAACTGCTGAATTTCCTTTAATAGAGTTGGCTGCAACTTTCTCTGTGGTTTCCTTTGTCTCAGTGAACATTTAGTCTGTGATCTTCTTTGTCTAAGATGCTTTGAAATGTTGACACCTGTGCCACGAAGAAGGCAGTTGCAGATGGATGTTTTTATGCACTCCAGTTTCTTTGGCAAACTAAAAGACAGAACAAATATCTGAGTTCATTATGATGAAAAGGGGAAGAAGAAGAAAAAAAGCACCTTCTCAAGCATAGTTAATGTGTGTGCCTTCTACCGACTTCCAACACAGAAAAGTACATAATTTATTTACAGGTCCTATGTCTATACAATCAGAATCAACAAAATCAGAATCATGTAAAAAAGTTTCAACCCAAATTTGTGTTTTCAGACTTCCCTCTGGTTTAGACTGCAGGCAAATGTGTCTCCATTTTTCCCGCAAAGGAGAGTACCTTCTCTACTGACCTACCCTTTGGTAGCTGACTGGTGAGGCAACTGTAGACTTTAGTATTTTGTAACACCTACAATGTGTCACAATGTAACAGGAATGGCAATGGAGACAATGTATCACAATGTAAACCGAATGGCAATGGAGAAAGCACAAATGAAAAGTTTTGCAGTGTATAATAATTCAGGTCTGGTAAGCAACTTCATGATGTGGCAGGAAATGAACGAGAGAAAGTAATAAAAATGAAGAGGAGAGAGTTATAAAAGAATGAAAAGATGGCTTCTGGCTCAGATGAACTAATGGCCTTGAGCTACCAAAGTAGGATTCATACTAAGTCATCTTCAGGCCTACAAAGTTCTGATCATTCTAGGTGTGTTGTACTATCATACATTCATCACTATGATGGTCAAACTACCCACCCTACCTTCCTCCCTTTAACTTTTAAAATACAAAAATTGAAAGAAGTTCGTTATACTGAAGTAATTACATGTTTCATTAAATGTCAAGTACTATACTTGACAGTATAAGCACACTAAATATAAACATACAAAAAATATAATAGTGCAAGAACAAAACAGGCTAACAGGAGCACTGTATTTTGGGAGGTACAAACAAATGGCTAACTAGTAAACATGGAGTTTATTATCCTTCTCAACTTTTAATCATTATCATCTCTGCCTCATCTACTCTGACTTCAAAGCCAATCTTGAACAGAATGCTTCTCTCCAATGGCCCCAAGCACTTAGGAGATAATGTCCTCCATGGCTCTTGGAGAATATTTTTTGAAGGACACATGGACACAAACAGACTGTCTCTGTGAAGAGGAAAAGGATCGTTACACCATCTGTCTCTGGAATTGTCCTCGGCATCTGTTCCCTTTTTGTAACAGTACTACCTACAACACTGAACACTTAGTTCTAAGGGTAAGACTCACAGGAAAAGAAGTAAATATGTGAGTGTAGCTCCTGTAAGACCTCAAACTTGGCCCTGGTCCCAAGAGCCTAGGGTGGGCCTTGCAGGCCGCAGGCAGCAATGCCTGCTCTGCCCTCACACCCTCACCAGCTGCACGACACTATCTATAGAAAAGCTGAACCTCCCGCTCGAGTGGGAGCCCTGAGGACTGCCTGTTCCTCACTATTGTTCCCTATGTTTTGCATACCACACATTCTCAGTGCTCGCTGCATAAATGAATAGGAATAAGAAGAGAATAAATGAGGCCAATTAGCTGTTTACTTTTTTCTCCCAATGATACAGCTTTGACCACTTAACAAAAGAAACAAGTGAAATTATAGTCTAAGTAAATCTCACCTGATTTAACATCTGGAGGATTGCCAGACATCACATTATAAGGAAACAAATCTATACTTTGTGCTAAACACGGAATTTTTGTAAAGTACTTACCTACAACCTTGAGCTTCCACGTGTTTCAGCCGGTTACTTTTAAGAAGTTTGTTACCCAAATACATAGCCTGAACTTTTTGCTTTTTGCTTCGGCACCATGCAATTGCCATTTGGATTTCTTTAGAAAGTTGGGTGAAAGTTCTGGCCTCCCGAAACCTTTGCACAAAACGTCTGACTTGAGGAGTTGCTGTCACCTTCGGAGAAGGATGTTTGGTTGTCTTCAATTGGGATTGAGAATATTTAAACTCAGAGCTAGCCTCCTGAAAAGGTAAGGAAAACATACAGCTTATGTACGTTACTGACTGGTAAGCACAGGACAAGACAGAAAGCTGACTCAAATCAAAATCTTAAGTCTTTTTAAAAGAAGGGAACTTTTTTGCTCATTCAGGTTTCCTTTTGTCTTAAAAAAAACAGTGTTTTATCCATTGCTCGTAACATCCCTCTCCCTCTCCCCCTCCCACCCCTCCACCTGTCCTAAGACAGGCTCCATTTGCCTTTTAACTAAATGTACACAGAAAATATAAATAGATATTCTAACACATGTATTGAACATGTACATGAGAATGAAACTCCACAATTAAAAACTGATCAGAGCCTAATGGCAGAATAAATAAATCATTGATGGACCCTTTAGCTCTTTATTACTGGGTTATCACATTTGTTTTTTACCTGTTTTTATCCCCCAGAAAACACCCTTGGACCATGTTACTGCAAACATTTGAAGCCAGGGTGCCCCACATGGTACCCAGTAGAGCAGTTTTTAATGAACATAGGGTTAACATGTTAAAAATGCTGATTTATCTGAGCAAAATTTCCAATTCCACTTGAACTGCTCACTTTCTAACAAAGGATCTCTTTTTTTTTCTCTTCAATCCCTTCTTTTGTATTTTACTTTTATTAGTTCTCTATGAAAATGCACTGCCTATCAAATTTACTTCTATCCTCCATTCAAGGGTTACCTTCTTTTCAAATTCTCACACCAACAAGAACTTTAAGAAGTTGAAAATGTAAAAGCACAAGCCTATTAATATTTTGTTTGGTGATCACTAAAAGAAGTCTATGCTAAAAGGAAACTGAGTACATTAGTGCCAACTGAAAATATAGCAGTGTTTACTCTTGATAAGATGCTGACAGACCAGTATCAGGACTGGCTTGCTAACCAGCAAGTTGACAAGCTGTAGAAGCTTCAAGGACTACAGAGCATCACAGTTTTCCTTGAAGCACAGAATCATAAAAAAGCTATATCCTTGAGACTGGTGTGATGGGATATAATCCCAGCTCTGCCCCTTATTAGACAAGTTTGGCCCACCTATGTATGCTTCAGTTTCTACAAGGAAATGTGAAGAGTAACATGAACATCTACCTCATAGAGAGCTTTTCTGTGGATTAATGACATAATACACATAAAGCTTTAGACTAATTCCAAGCTCAGAAAATGTTACTCCTCTCTTGGAACTTTAGAGTTATTAGAAAGAATCAAGAATTCTTAAGAAAAATGAAAAAAAAAAATAACCCACAAAAGACAAAAGTAGTTACTGAGTGAAAACAGGTGGCACTGCATGCTTACCTTTAAGTCCAGAACAAACTGAATTTACAAGTACTAATTAATAAGAGGAATAGAAGCCCCATGTCAAATAAGGAGGATTACAAAAATGATGATAGTTACTAGTAACATTTAACACTAGTTAAATGCTTAAAATACTCTAAGACTGCTGAATACTCTATATGCATTAAGATATGCTTACAGGCCACACCTAGTACAAACTAAAGCCAGACAAGGTTTAAGCCATTTGTCTGACTGCAAAGTCTATCTGTATTTTTAAAATCCAGAACAACCATCCTTAAACTGGGTCTAATGGTCATTTTAAAATTCTATACAAACTCCTACAAATACACTTAATTAGCTAGATAACATTAACAGAACCCCTGCTCTATTCAAAAGCACACAGAACTAAGAAGGTACCAGGCTTAGAAAAGTAGGACTCAATCCTTGTCCTTGGTAAGTAGCATCCTCTACAAATTAACAGGATTCAAAAACTATATCAAATCCAGCCAGACAAACCTGAATAGCTTTGTTTCTTAGCTGTTTGCAGAAAGCCCTCACATCAAATCCTGATGAATTTTCTGGGGAGATGGAAAACAAAAATCATAAATACGAAACTTACACAAGCTATTTTCAAATCAACAAATTCTTAAGTTCATGACATTCATGCCAACTACTAAAAGAAATAAGGAGAATAAAACAAGCAAATAACTATAAAGGAACGATAGAAATCAGTAATTTTTTAAGTGCTCAAGCTTAAAAACAGATGTAACCACACCTCTCTAAAGATAACCAAAGTAGATTGACATTAAGATACTAGATTGCTTCCTGTACCAAACATGATTATATCGTGCTTACAAAATTTTTAATTACAATATGTGCTATACATCAAAGCAAATTACCTTTAATAACTTTCTTACTCTTCTTTACTGGCTGTCCAAGGTCCACATTATCCTGAATATTGTCTTTCATTTGTTTAGATGTTTTGCAAATTTTAAGTGAAGTGTCTTCACCAGACTTTGGTAATTTTTCTTTTGTTAAAAATAGTTTATCTAGCAACTTATTTACTCCTTTACTCAAAAAAGCTTTAGGCATTTTTTTCTTAAAGATTTCAAGATAGGGCTGTCCTAGAAATTCAGCAATATTAGAAGGGAAAATGAAATCTTTGAAGTAAGGCATGGGTTGAATCCTAGAGATCTCCTGTAGCAATCCAAATAATAGCTCATATAAAGACATCAATCTTCTTAAAACAGCTTTGTACAGAACCCTACAAAGAAACAAAAGCTTATGAATTAGCTGGTAATTACAATTTGATTACATAATAAACTATAAAATTCAAAACTTGAAATAGTTATCAAAGCTTTGCCAAGGCTGGCCCCCAAAAACCCCAAAATACAAAAAAAAAAAACAAAAAAAAGTCCTTGCAAACAGCCATTTCAGCCTAAGTATAAAATGTTACTCAAAAAAAGCTAACTCTGTGGGAGATGTATCAAAGAATACACATAAAAAATTTGTATGAGTGATTATCTAGAATTTTGGGGCACATTTCAATTTCTACACATTTTTTCTGTTTTTGTACTTTTTTTAACATTATTTTTGCAATAAATAAAAAACCTTTTCATTACAGAAAAGAAGAGCAATGGCTTAATATTTTAAAATAATATGATGAGTAAGCCAGTATGATGGTACAAGTCTACAATACTAACACTGAGGAAACTGAGGCAGAAGGATCATAAATTGGGCTTGGGCTACCAAGCAAGTCTATGTTTCAAAAATTTTTTAATGTAATTAGATAGTATCATTTTATTAACTGTCAATGTTGGTTCAAATGTTACTACCTCTTATTCAGAGTAAAATAGCCAGGTGCCAGTGAGTGTGGCTCATACCTTTAATCCTAGCTACTCAGGAGGCTAAGACAAGAATTGAGGTTTAGAGCCAGTCCAAGCAGACAAACAGTAAAAAGCTGGAAGTGGAAGCATGGCTCAAGTGATAAAGCACTAGTTGTAAGCAAAGAAGCAAAGTGAGTATATGAGGCCCTGAATTCAAGCCCCAGAACCAGCATAAAAAATAAACAACAACCAAAAAAAAGAATCACAACAAAAATAAGATTAGATACATATTCCAGCTATTCAGGTTAACACATTAAAGCACAGTTTTCAATCTCTGAAGGCAGAAATTTTCAGGTTTTTTACATCCAAATTTAAGAAAATAATCTAATTCCAAGTGGAATTATCTATCAAATAATTATTACTACACATACACACACAAAATGATGTTTCTTTAGTTTACTGGTTTTATTACTGGTCTTTACATTGACTATGCCTCAAAACCCACCAGTTGTTTCTGGTGGACGAAAAGTCGACAGCACAGAAAAAGATCAAATTGTATTTATCATTTTCCATTACAAAGTAGATAGCAATCCAGGAAATCACCATTTTCAACAACCTGCTACAATATAATTACTGTCAATTCTTTATCATTCCAGTTCCTAGATGCTACAATGCATTTGCTAGGTTATTCAGTTTTCAGTCAATGGCTTCTGATGAGAAGCCTACTTCTCTCACCATCAGCACGTAGGCTCCTAACCTACCACTAGTAAACACGTCAAATGAAGAAAGGGAACCCCCCGCCCCCACCACACCATCAGTCTGGGGAAATATGAAATGAAACTATATGAAAGTAAAGAAGAAAACCAGCTTGAAGTAGAGATGAAAAAGAAATGATTGATGTCTAAAATATGTACATACCATAATCTGCTTACCAGCCCAACCATCACAAGGTTTAAAATAATGAATTCTTCCAATCCTAGGTGTTTCACTGTCAAGCTGAAGAACCAATTTAAGGTGGGAAAACAAAACTACAGAGATCTAAGGTTTATAAGTTACAATTATGAAAGATATACATTGGAGTAAAAAGATTCCTCTTCAAAAATTCTTAAAGCATGCTCCACTCGAATCATATAAAACTTAAAAAGAATGGGAGCCTGTGGCTCATGCTGTAATCCTAGCTACTTAGGAGGCTGGGATCTGAGGATCATGGTTCAAAGCCAGCCTGGGCAGGAAAGCCCAAGAGACTCTTATATCCAATAAATCACCAGAAAAACAGAAGTGGCACTGTAGCTCAAGTGGTAGAGTGCTAGCCTTGAGCTAAAGAGCTGAGGGACAGTGCTCAGGCCCACAGTTCAAGCCCCATGACTGACCAAAAAAAAAACTTAAAAAGTAACACACTCTGCTAAACTTCTGTTGTTAAATTTAACTTTTTAAGATTCAGAATTTGTAGCTGTCAAAGATCTTAGGATAGATAACAGAGGCTAGTGACAAAGCCTCTGGCAATGGCTATATCCAACAATTATTGAGAGAAGGAGAGCAGAAGCAACTTTTAAGAATCCTCACAGGTTGTAATGTCTGTTAAGACCCCCAGCTTTCAAAACATTCTGTTAGATATCCAAATAATTCCCACTTCCAAGAAGGAACTTCAGTAAACTGGAGGATACAGAAATGCCTTACAGCAGCAATCCAACAAGCGGAGTAACAACTTGCAGGCACCCAAGACCTTCATCAACACCAACTCCACCACTGGTTGGCTGGGAATGGCACATGCTGTGGTAGTTACGGGCTTTTCTCTTAACAAAAATAGGAAAATACATTACTTTCATTTTTAAACAATGAAAACCTGCTTTAAGTCAAATGAAAACCTGCTTTAAGCACAATATGAGGTAGTTATGCCAGTAACAACCCACCAGTTTTAATATAATCCACTGTGACCCACATTTCAGTGATATATCAGTCTTTCTCACATACTTTTAGAGGTACCAAAACAGATACCCCTTATTAAAACAAAATTAACTGTTTGGCACTGGCACGCCTGTAATCCTAGCTACTCAAGACTGAGATCCAATGACTGCAGTTCAAAGCTAGCTGTAGCAGAAAGTCCTTGAGACTCTCACCTCCAACTAACCAGCAAAAACCTACAAATACAGCTGTGGCTCAAGTGGTAGAGCACAGGCCTTGAGTGAAAAGCTAGGGGATAGCAACAAGTTCAAGCCCCAGTACTGGCACAAAAAAAGTATATAAATAATACAAAATCTGTTCAATCCAAACACCAAAAAGAGAAAAACAAAAGGTAGGGAGAACACTACAGGACATCAGGCTCTTTGCCCTTATCAAAAGCAAAAGAATACCTACTTGGAAGAACACAACCCATACAGGTCTTCAATTGAGTCCACCAAATTCATGTTTTTCAAACGTTTTAAACATTGTTCAACCTGAAAAAAGAAGATCAGCTCAAATTAGTATATGGGTATTGTAGAGAGGGTCAGTAATATAATCAGGAAAGCAAAGGAACCAAACTTTCAAACTGGAAACATGCAAAATACCAGATTACTCTTTTCATTTTAAGGATAAAGGAACCAATCAAAGAACAAGAAACAACAGACTTCTCAAATCAGGAAATGATTATGAAATTACTAACTAGGCACAGTGGCTCATATCCCAGCTACTCAGGAGGCTGAGACCGGGAGGATCTCAGTTCAAAGCCAGTCCTGGGAAAGTCTGTGAGATCCTTTTCTTAATCAATAGTTGGATGTAATGGTGTACAATTGTCATCGCAGGCTGGCAAGGACACAGAGTTGGAAGGGTTGCAGATCCAGGCCAACCTAGGCAAAAAAGTTTCCAACAGTCTATCTCAATGGAAGAAGCAGGACATTGTGGTACAAAATAAGGGGTTCATGCCCAGACACAGGCTCAGGCAAAAAGTAAGATCCTATCTCAAAACAGCCAATGCAAAATGGGGCTGGAGTATGGCTGGCTTGCAATAACATGCCTGCCTAGGCACGTGGCCCCGAGTTCAAACCCCATTACCACAAAAAAGGGGGAAGGAAAAAAAAGGAAATTACCATGTGCCAAAAAATTGTGTTTAATGGTAATAAAGGGAACCAAACAACTATAAAATATTGTAATCACACTGAAGCCAAAAGTAATTTTTGTGTGTGTGCTGGTCCTGGGGCTCCAACTCAGGGCCTGGGCACGGCCTCTGAGCTTTTGTGCTCAAGGCTAGCACTCTACCACTTGAGCCACAGCTTCAGTTCTGGCTCTTTGATGGTTACCTGGAGATGAGAAGCTCACAGACTTTTCTGCCCAGGCTGGCTTAGAACAGTGATCCTCAGATCTCAGCCTATGACTAGCTAGGATTATAGGTGAGAGCCACCACTTCCTGGCTCCAACCATAATTTTAATAGTTAATCTATTAATATAAAACAGTAAACTATTAACTAATAAATTTCAAGTCTATAAATATCACAGAGTAGAGGAAAATGACTTACTCTCTGGACAAATATATACTGAACTCCTACTATATGCAAGGAAGGCTGGGAGATAAAGTGGCATATGAGTCAATTACTAGTAATAAAACTAAGGCAATATACTAATTACCTAAACACTAAAACATTTTATTCAAAATTGCAACCTCTCCTATTTTTCTCCTTTATTACAGCCTGACACAAGATTGACCGATTTCCTTTCTTTCCAAAGTATATTGGAAGGTACTCATGAACGATATATTTTATCCATAGTCTTCACAATTCTTTTACACTATACAAAATGCTGTACCTGTCAGAAATCACACACAATGACAGGCACGGGGTAGAACCACATTTAAAAGGAAATAAAGATCTTAAAAGGAAACCAATTCTGGCAACTATAGCACCTTGCAAGAGTTCCCTATAGGCTACTAAAAATAAAATCTAAGCTATGGATTCTACAATTCTACCTTAACAACAGTTTTTAGAAAAATGGATACAATAAATTTTAAATTCTCTGCAGCCAGTTCCTATCTTTTTCAATTTTTAAGTCTAGACACCATCCCTTAAGAGGTAAAGCACTTAGATACACAGTAAGTAAACTATGGTTTCCTTATGGTACATGGTTCAAAAGAAGGAGGAAAAGAAAACCTGTCTTTAGCAAGGACAAGAGGAGACGTAAGATTGCAAGGAAATCATTATACAGAACTGTCACATGAAAGAGAGAGAACTCAAGAATGTATTTTGTATTCCAGAGTTAGGGCTTAAAGAGGATTTAACGCTAGTGGCCAGCTTTTGAACACGAACACACACACACACACACACACACACACACACACACACACACACACACACACACACACCTTTACAGCTCAGTTTAAGCAAGTTCTCACGCTAGTGGCCAGCTTTGAACACACACACACACACACACACACACACACACACGCTTTGAACACACACACACACACACACACGCTTTGAACACACACACACACACACACACGCTTTGAACACACACACACACACACACACACACACACACACACACACACACCTTTACAGCTCAGTTTAAGCAAGTTCTCTATAAACTGAAATGTTCAGCAGATAGAAGGTGGCAGCAACTGCCGTAGCAGAACTCACATGACTCATCTTCCCTACGGAGGATTGATAGGGAACACAAATATATAAACATACACAAAGATGTACTGAGAACACAATAGACTGTGTCAAATGCTGTAAGAGAAGTACAACAAGGAGGCCAGAAAGCAAAAAATCAAGATGAGAAATCTGAATTCACTAATAATCAGAAAAATGAGACTGCCATAACATACATTCATGTTATATCTTGGAGAGGTCATCACTATCAGAAAGGTTGAAAATGAGATTTGGAAGATGTGAAGGCCTTTCACAGGCAGATACCATAGAGGCCAGGTTGTTTAAAAATCCAGGACCAGATGAGCAAGAAACATACAGTTCAGCTTGGCTGGAATATATAATATCTGAAGATGAGAGAAGCTTGAGCTAAGGAAGGCTAAAGAGGCCACATCATAGTGGGTATTATAAGCCAACCTAAAGAGTTTAATCTTTATTTAAGACACCAATGGAGAAATCAAAGTTGTGCCAGAAGTAGTGGCTTAAGCTCATAATCTCAGCTCCTGGGAGGCAGAGATGGGGAGATCCAAGTTCATAGATGATCCAGGCAAAAACTGACCCAGGAAAAAGAAGTTCATGAGACTCTATTTCACTCAATGGCTAGGTGCAATGGTGCATGTCTGTCATCTCAATCATGGGGGAAACAAAATGATTGAGCATGGTGCTGCATACCTGTCATCCTCCTCAACACAGGTAAGTAAAAGGATCAAAGCCCAGTTTTAGGAACAAAGAGACACTCTACCTTGAAAATAACAGAAAAGGGGCTGGATGCATGACTCAAGTGGTAGAGAACCTGCCTCACAAGCTCAAAGCTTGAGGTGCAATTCTCTTTTTTATTTTTTTGCCAGTCCTGGGCTTGAACTCTAGGTCTGGGCGCTGTCCCTCAGCTCTTCAGCTCAAGGCAAGCACCCTACCACTTGAGCCACAGCGCCACTTCTGGCTTTTTTTGCTTATGTGGTGCTGAGGAATCGAACCCAGGGCCTCATGCATGCAAGGTAAGCACTCTGCCACTGAGCCACCTTCCCAGCCCGAGGTTCAATTCTCATACTGCTCAAAAAAAAAAAAAAGTTTCAGGATGGTGAAACCAGGTTTTGGTGTATATATAATATGCCAGATTGTAAGAAAGACTACAGGACTATCAGGATAATAAGTTACTGTGGGTTGGTAAAATTTAAACCACGAAAATGGCAGCAAGAAAGGCTGAGTGTATGACAACTGAACATAAAATAGCTCTGTATTTGGCAACTTGGGATTACATTAGAAGACGCAAGTAAAAGCTAACCTACAGAAGAAAATGTAAGAGAAGACCATGTTCCCAGATCTTTTTTTGATGGAGAAATCTTCATCTTTATTATGTAAGTAATGAGAGTGAAACACTAACCAGAAAGCTTAAGTCTGTAGGTTATACACAATACTGTCTTTTCACTCCTGTATACCTGCATCAAGCACAAAGCCTGGCCCAAAGTTTGTAAAAATAAAACCTTGCACAGTGGCTGTCACATAATGGATAGTAAACTGGACTTCTATAAAAGAAGAATTAGAGAATTTATAAAGTGATTGATGAACAAGCACATAAGAAATTCAGCATGAGAAACTCTGCTATGATATAGTCCCTAAATTAGGACTCAATTTTGCTTTAGGCTCCAAAAATTACATGAAACTACTTACGGTGCTGATATTTATGTGTGTATATATAAGGGAGGGGGAAGAAGGGTGAGGGAGGAGAGGGGGAAAGAGGGAGGGGGGAGAGATGGAGAGATTGATTACACATAATGAAACTTTTTAATTCCCCACAAGAAATGACTGGGAAGGGATCTAAACATACTTCCACTTGAACAAAATGAACAAAAATTGTTTTCTGAACTGGCTGAGAGTCCTCATGTAACCACAAACTTATAAATCACAAGTACTTTACTAAAATCTCCATAAATAACAAATAATAAATGTGTGTGATCTACATGTTCATCAGGTAACAAAGTGTGGATGTGGATCACATGGTCCTCAGGGCTTCCTCCTCACCTGTTTGAGGGCAAGATGGGGCTTGTGATGGCCCATTCGGTTGTGATTGCTGTAAAGGACTGCGCATAACACATCTTCTTCTTGTTGTAAGGTTTGGCTCCTCAGTGACTGTGTGATGAGATGGCATTCCTTAATCACAGCTGCAATGCAAATGTCTAAAGCAAAGACATTTAATAAGACTTGGTATGTATTTCTACATTCAGTACACTACATGAAGCATCTGTCCTTACTGACCTTAAAGGAATCATGCAACAAATTAATGTAACAAGCCTCAAGTGTGAATTCAAACATAATGAAGCTTTCTAAGTCTGAAGGGCGTTTGAAAATGATGACAAAGGACCCTAACTTTGGGAAATCGTTAAGAGACTATGTGATAAACAGGACTATATTATTCACCTCACATTTTACCATGATTTAAGTAATCTTTCATATGAATACTTTTCAATCATTTGGGGCACCTCAATGTTGAGCACAAGCTACAAACCACTACATACATCTCTGATTCCTTCATTTTGTTCTTCATACGAGAGATAGAATGGATAAATTCACAACTTTCAAAGTCAAAGGACCTGTGTATTTATCCCTTTGTATCCTTGGATTTCACATCTATTAATTCAACCAACATCAGATGAAAAATGTTTTTAAAAAAATATACTAAGTACTCTTTCCTTTATCCTTATTCTCTAAACCAAACAGCATAATAACTATTATGGCACTTACAGGTGCCATAAGCAACCTGGGATGATTTAATATACAAAGGATGTGTGTAGGTTATATGCAAAAGCCATACCTAGTTATATAAGGGACTTGAGCAACAGCAGATTTTTGATATCCAAGGGGTTCCACATGCAGGGACAAAGGTTTTCAGAAAAGAAAAAAACCTCATGGCCCCTAGAAATTACATTCTTTGTTGAACAGCTGACTGAAGGCTGGTGACCAATGTTTCCTAATCTGAAAAGATGCTGAATATAGAATACAGCTTGTACTGTCTATGGCTACAAGAGAGGCACCTAGACTATGGGTGGAAGAATTTCCTATCCCTTCTATTTTTCAGCTACATTGAGGAATGAGGAATGAGCTGATGAATTTTCCGTAATAGGAATACTGTTTAAAAAATTTTTTATTTGAATGGCAAAACACAGTGTAGCATAGATCCTTGCTAATTGACAGTAAATTTTTAGTATTTAAATATTTAAATGTGATCATCAAATTTTCTTTAAGCACTTAATACTAACAACTGCTGTCATTTGAGCATTTTTCCTCCCAAATACTGTTCCAAACGCTTTACTTATGATACCAGCTCTTTAATTCCCCAACAGACCTAAGAGGATGGTCATCTTTATTCCCATGTGGAAGTGACCTGAAGTTACACCCCCCCCCCCCCCCACACACACACAAGCTTCCCAAGGCAGACCCCAAACAGCAACACCATCTACCTCAGTTCACAGATCTATCACTCCAGTGGAGGGTAAGGGAGGCCAATTCCATTTTACAATACGGAACCCAAGTTCCGGACGCCTGCGGTTTACGTCCGGAACGCTGGAGCAGAACTCCCAGGTCCCGGGGACAAGCTCCCGCGCTACACGTCCGGCGGGCTGCATCCGGGTCCTCCGTCGCTCCTGCCAGGCCCCACGGCAGCGCCGTGGACTCCCTGGGAACCAGGACCCTCAGCCCCCACCGGCGCCCCGCCGCTCGGCCCTTCCCAGCTGCCCCCAGGCTCCGGAAGTCCCGCCCCGCTCCCACGTGCGCCGGCCCGAAGGCTTCTCGGGAAAAGTCGACCGTTTGCGTCAAGCCTGTCACTCACTCAGGGCTGCTCCGGGGTCCCGCACTGTCACTGTGCTGCGACACCCCGCCCTAGGGATCCTCACGCGGTTCCAAGGCTCCAGACCCGGCAGCGGCGCAGCAGACATCTTGCGAGGCGGGGAGGGAGAATGGGATGGGCGGAGCGGGGCTCCACTAGGCCTAGCGGCCTGGCGCGGGAAGGGAGGAAAGAAGGACGAGGGAGGGGCGGAGCTGGGCGAGACCAAGTGGAGCTCGAGGGGGGAGATGCGGGGTAAGGGGCGGGGCTGGGCGAGACCAAGTGGAGCTCCAGAGGGGAGATGCGGGATAAGGGGCGGAGCTGGGCGAGACCAAGTGGAGCTCGAGGGGGGAGATGCGGGGTAAGGGGCGGGGTGGGCGAGACCAAGTGGAGCTCCAGAGGGGAGATGAGGGATAAGGGGCGGGGCTGGGCGAGACCAAGTGGAGCTCCAGAGGGGAGATGCGGGGTAAGGGGCGGGGCTGGGCGAGACCAAGTGGAGCTCGAGGGGGGAGATGCGAGATAAAGGACGGGGCGGGGCGAGACCAAGTGGAGCTCGAGGGGGGACATGAGGGATAAGGGGCGGGGCTGGGCGAGACCAAGTGGAGCTCCAGAGGGGAGATGCGGGATAAGGGGCGGAGCTGGGCGAGACCAAGTGGAGCTCGAGGGGGGAGATGCGGGGTAAGGGGCGGGGTGGGCGAGACCAAGTGGAGCTCCAGAGGGGAGATGCGGGGTAAGGGGCGGGGTGGGCGAGACCAAGTGGAGCTCCAGAGGGGAGATGAGGGATAAGGGGCGGGGCTGGGCGAGACCAAGTGGAGCTCCAGAGGGGAGATGCGGGGTAAGGGGCGGGGTGGGCGAGACCAAGTGGAGCTCCAGAGGGGAGATGAGGGATAAGGGGCGGGGCTGGGCGAGACCAAGTGGAGCTCCAGAAGGGAGATGCGGGATAAAGGGCGGGGCGAGACCAAGTGGAGCTCCAGAGGGGAGATGCGGGGTAAGGGGCGGGGCTGGGCGAGACCAAATGGAGCTCCAGAGGGGAGATGCGGGATAAGGGGCGGGGCGAGACCAATTGAAGGCTGACTGCCTGGAGTGGGCGGGGCGAGGCTGAGGCTGCGGGCCGGAGGCGGCCTTCCGGGGCTGCACCCAATGTGGGATGGGGAGCTGCCACCTACTGCTGTGATCTGGAAAGGCCTGTAAGGTGATTCAGCCCCTCTTCCCTCTCCCCTTACCAGACTCTGACGGCCTGTTCAGATCCCTAGGTTTTCTTGAGGGTGTGGTGGGAGAGCTTAGAATCACTAAGGGTGGGGTGAAGAACTATTTTGTTTAAAATTCTCCCCCTGGCATTCTGAGGCACAACCCGATTTGAGACTACTCCAAGGCATTTTACCGATAAACTCAGGCCCAACCTGAGTCTCATGACCTTTCCTGCCATCTGGTTTCGAACCAGATCCTCAGATCTTGGCCTCCTGAGTAGCTAGGATTATAGGTGTGGGCCACTAGTACCTAGCCCAGATAGGATTTTGGCATCTGATCTTTTCCGAGAGATCTGCTCTTGAGCAAACATTCATAGACGGCCTACAGTGATTCCATTATAGCGAAGCTATTCCTCCCAAAGAGCCGCACATAAAAGAAGAGAAAAGTATCTTGGTTGGATGAGAACACACATCCATTTAAAGGAGATTTCTGTGGCTGCATCCCTCGGATATGAGGAGAAATGAAAAAAAATACGATTAAAAAGGATTATACAAGGTATGGAGCTTGAAAGGAACATGGAAGATTTACTTTGAGTAATCAAAGAAGGCTCCTTCATACTTTGGTTATAGCAAAACCAAGACCTGTCAAAGAAAGCTGACCCTCACCACCACCAACCATTAGAATCTTAGGTAAAATGATATTGCAAAAAGCTTTCCTTCTGATAGTTCATTTATCCTCAGCCACACTGATCAGCCTTTTGCTTATACTTAAGGCTCCCTGTCCTGCCACAATATGGAGAGGGACAGTTAGTGGGTTTTAAAGACTACCATTGAATAGTTTTACTGGAAGTTGACTTAACTGACCCATATACCTATGGGTAAAATGAAGATGATTATTAACTGCCATCTAGGTTATAGAGTGCCCAGCTTACAAACAATATTTACTCTTAGTAGAAGTGAATACTACTTTGAGCAAGTAGTCTGCTTATTCGTTCAGTATACCTTTGCAGATGCTACTTCTTCCATCTGGACCCTATCTCTGAAGCAGTCACCCTTCCTCAGCTCCTGGGCTATCATCTTTGGTAATTCTTCACAAACATCTTAGCCTCATGCCAAAACTATAGAGACCATTTTCATCATAACTTTATAGAGAGAACCCATTAATGAATTACTATTCATTAGTGTTTGTCTGTATATTAATGAATCAACTTTCTGACTTGAAACAGCATAGTTACATGGTTGGGGGTGGAAGTTCAAAATCAGTCCTTTTTAACTAAAATTGGCAGGGCTGGCTCTCTTAAGCTCTAGGGTAAAACTTATTTCCTTGCCTTGCTGGCTTTGCCACTGTAAGCATTATACCCACCTTTGGTCCTCAGCTCCACCCAGACCAGAGCTCCTCGCAGGCCTGGAGTTCCCGCCATACAGCTGGCCCTTCCCTTTCTCGGCCTAGACCCATCTGAGCTCCCACCTACCTCACTTACTACCCCAGACCCTCCTGCTACCTAGATAGTGGAGAGTGCCATATGCCCCCTCTCTGGGGGAAATATGGCTCCTCTAATAAACCTAGTAATAATCTTGCTCTTGTTCCTGCCTGCCTCTGCGTGGTCCCCTGGGATGGATGTGACGGATCCTTTCAGCCACTGCGTTCATTCGGTGGCTCACTTCCTAATTCGCCATGTGGGAAGTCAGTGGATCACATAGAATCTTCGAATCTCCTCCCCTTTCTCACTTCCTACAGGAGATTTGTGGAGATAGAATCAAGTTCTTAGCAAAGAGATAGACTTGAAGGTCCACCTCCCATGGCTCATGATTTCACAGGTTTCAGTGATGATTCAAAGGATCCAACCGTGACTACCTGTTTTGATCACTGTGTGCCTATGGTGAGGTAGAGTATCAGAGCAGAGTGGGTGAAGGGGAGCATATCACTGACCTCATGGTGGCTTGGAAGCAGAGACAGAGACACAATATGCTCTCCAGTGACCCACTTTTTCTAATTAAGCCCCACCTCCAAAATTTTCCATCATTTCCAAATAATGCCATCAAATTATGAACCAATCAAGGAGTTGGTCAGGTTGATTAGATCAAGCCCTAATGATACAATCAATGATTGGATCCACCTGGTGGATGGACACCTAGGCTTCAACACATGAGCCTTTGGATAGAGTGGGGGGAAAGGGAGAAAGGGGCGTGTTAATATTTGGTGTTCAAATTGTAACAGTGTGTTTGGGGCTGGGAAAGTGGTGCAGTAGTAGAGTGCTTGCATCGCATGCATGAGGCTCTGGGTTTGATTCCTCAGCACCACATAAACAGAAAAAGCTGGAAGTGGCGCTGTGGCTCAAGTGGTGGAGCGCTAGCCTTGAGCTGAAGAGCTGAGGGACAGTGCCCAGGCCTGGAGTTCAGGCCCCACGACCAACAACAGCAACATAACAGTTGTTTGCCTGTATGTGTGTATAAGCATGTGTGCATGCATAAAGGATTCAGACACACAGACTTTTTGATTCTATGACCTGATAAACTCAAGCTTCTAACTTTGTTCAGAGATGCTAGGACCTGGACTATGTTAAACACTTTCCTCAGTGACTGTCATACCAATATGTACCACTAGAGGGCCCACTTATTCCTCCAATGTTGCCTAGCAACTGTTCAGCCCACGTCTTATAGCAGTTAGTTCAGGTTCCTGCTTTTAAACATTCCCAAAGCAACCCTAAGAAGTTCTAGAAGCACCCTGATGGTATTCTCAGAGATCTGTGCCCCCAATTCTGCATATTCCTTCCTCTAGAAGTCTAAATTCTCTAAACTCCTGAACTAACTTCTGTATTTCTCTAGCTCCAAGCTCTGTAACTGCTCTCACTTATCTCTGTGCTACCTCAGTGTTGTAGTTTTACATTTCAGCTCTTAAATATCTGTCTAACCAGTTTTCTATCATCTTAAAATTATCTATAGTGAAATACTTAGTATTTATTCTGTTTTACTAAATAAAGGGTTTTTACTCAGATTTAGAGCCAGAAGTGGACCCAGGAAAATAACTCCTCAGTATGAGATTCTGTAGGTGGTTTTGCCACATCCTTAGTTTGGTCCCAGAAATGATCTTTTTCACTCAAGGGGCAATGGATTATGACAAGCCTATGGCATGTTGTGTCATCCTACTTAGCCACTGAGGTTGACCTTCAGAAGCCCAGGGAAAACAGGTGACCTTCACAGTAGCAATGATGTTTCTTTTCTTTTCTTTTTATTGTTTTGTTTTGGCCTGAACTCTGGGCCTGGGCACTGTCCCTCACCTCTTCAGCTCAAGGCCAGTGCTCTACCACTCGAGCCGTAGCGCCACTTCTGGCTTTTTTTATGTGGTTCTGAGGAATCGAACCCAGGGCCTCATGCATGCAAGGCAAGCACTCTACCACTGAGCCACCTTCCCAGCAATGATGTTTCTGAGTGTCCTGAGAGCCTAAGAAAATGGCACTCAACTAAAATCATAGAGAATCATATGTCTAAGACGGCCCTGGGTCAAAACTCAAATTTATGAACTACAAAATTAAAATTCAATTATACTGAGTTATAGAATCACGATTCTCATAATGACAGAACATTTGGTTGGTAATAAGAATTCTCTGAGCTTTTTAGTAGGGACTCTCTAGTTAGACTCAGGAGAGGATCGGAATCTTGCCAATGCCT